CGGCGGCGAGCGAGGGGGGAAGTGAGAAGGGGCGGGCCTTGTGAAGAGGCTCGGAAGTCCCCCGGCCTTCTGAGGTGATGAGCCTTCCGCAAAGACACAGAAAACCTCTCAGAAGGCTGGAGGCCTTCTGAGAAGCCCCGCCGCGTTCTGAGGAGGTCATCTCCTTCTCACTCCTCCCCCCTCGCTCGCCGCCGACAGGAAGCTGTGCGGACCTTGGCCTCCTTCTCCCCCGCGGTATAGTACGTCAGCAGGTTCAACAGCGGCGGCAGCCTGTGCACCACCTCGCTGGCCTGCGAGCGCCACCCCCCCGCGCCGTCCGCGCCCTCGCCCGCGAGGCCGAGGCTCGCCAGGTACTCCCGGAAGAAGTCTGGCTCCTCGGGCGGCCAGTGGAGAGGGGGAGGAGGAGGAGGAGGAGGAGGAGGAGGAGGAGGGAGGAGGAGGAGGAGGAGGAGGAGGAGGAGGAGGAGGAGGAGGAGGAGAAGAAGGAGGCGGAGGAGGAGGAGGAGGAGCAGCAGCAGGAGGAGGAGGAGAAGGACCAGTGGAAACCCAAGAGTCATCAACGATGTTGAAATGAACCCTCCCTCCAAACTCACTCGTCACAGGCCCCGACAACAGTAATTTCCACTGAGGGAACTGCCTCGTTGGAAGACAACCGTTTGAAGACCCTGAAGCATGCCAAAACATTATTCTCCGGATTCCAACGCCACGGATCAACCTGACTGTTGCGTACTGACGGTCTTGAATCGCGCCAGATCACCATTCCTGAGACTTCAACGCAGCGAATCAACGTAATTGTTGCGCCCGGGTAATCCTGAATCCTTCCAAAAACACAATTTCTGGTATGCTGATCATGGGAGTCCGTGAAACTCTTGTAAATGTTTCAATCGAGTGTGCGCGGCGTTAAGGCCGGAGCCAAAGTTTGAAAAAGAACCACCCTCAAACCGTGAAACGCTTGGAAAACAGAGTGCGCGCGTCGCTAGGGCGAGAGCCACATTTTGAAAACGACCAGCCCTCAATCCGATAAACTCTTGCAACAGTTCGAAGCGAATGTGCGCAGCGCTGAAGCGAGAGCCACATTTTGAAAACCACCCGCCCCCAATTCGTGAAACTCTTGCAGATATTGGAAGGGAATGCGCGCGGCGCTAAGGCGAGAGCCACATGTTGAAAACGACCCACCCTCAATCCGTGAAGCTTTTGCATACTTTCTCCAACCTTTCCTTGGTTGGGTTCTCGTTTTGAATAGAGCACCTTGGTCTCCATCACTCACTTAGTCCTCCCCCATATCCTCCTTCCTCCCTCCTTTCTCCTCCTCGACGTTTTCTTCCCCCCTGTCCAACGGGGACCACCATGAGACCTCGCCGTCCCTGGAGGGCTGCGATCTGCGAAACTGTCGCCGTTTTCGTGCGCTCTTGGGACGTCCAACGGAGGGGCGTCCCACGGGGACCACCATGAGACCTTTCGTGGGCTCCTGGGAGGTCCAGCGGAGGGGGGTCCCACGGGGACCACCATGAGACTGGCTGCGATCTGCGAAACTGTCGCCACTTTCGTGGGGTCCTGGGAGGTCCAGCGGAGGGGTGCCCCACGGGGACCACCATGAGACCTCGCCGTCCATGGGCGGCTGCGATTTGCAAAAATGTCGCCACGTTCGTGGGCTCCTGGGAGGTCCAGCAGAGGGGTGTCCCACGGGGACCACCATGAGACCTCGCCGTCCCTGGGGGGCTGCGATCTGCGAAACTGTCGCCACGTTCGTGGGCTCCTGGGAGGTCCAGTGGAAGTGTGTCTTACGTAGATCACCATGAGACCTCGCCGCCCCTGGGAGGCTGCGATCTGGAAGCTGTCGCCACTGCCATGGGATCCACCACTTTCGTGCGCCCCTGAAAGATCCAGCAGAGGTGCCCCACGGGGACCACCATGAGACCTCGCCGTCCCCTGGGGGGCTGCGATCTGCCAAAATGTCGCCACTTTCGTGGGGTCCTGGGAGTCCAGCGAAGGGGTACCCCACGAGGGCCACCATGAGACCTCGCCGTCCCTGGGGGTCTGCGATCTGAGAAAATGTCGCCACTTTCGTGGGCTCCTGGGAGGTCCAGTGGAAGTGCGTCTTACGCGGATCACCATGAGACCTCTCCTCCTCCTCCTCCTCCTCCTCCTCCTCCTCCCTCCCTCCTCCTCCTCCTCTCCTCCTCTCCTCCTCCTCCTCCTCCTCCTCCTCCTCCTCCTCCTCCTCCTCCTCCTCCTCCTCCCCCTCTCCTCCTCCCCTCCTCCTCCTCCTCCTCCTCCTCTCCTCCTCCTCTCCTCCTCCTCCTCCTCCTCCTCCCCTCCTCCTCCTCCTCCTCCTCCTCCTCCTCCTCCTCCTCCTCCTCCTCCTCCTCCTCCTCCTCCTCCTCCTCCTCCTCCTCCTCCTCGGGAGAGTTGGGGGGGCGGTTCCCTTTCTGCCGTTTTCTTAATGGTTTGCGCATCCCCAAATTGTTTCGGGGGGTCCCATGGGTCCCCCTCAGATCCAGCCGCTACCGCCCCCAGGACCCTCCCCTCGGAACCCTCCCCGGACCCCCCCCGGGACCGCCAGGCACCCCCCCGGAGGAGAAGAAAGAGGACCGGAAGAATCGAGGAGGGAGGAGGCCACAGAGCCGCGAAGATCACCAAATCTGGAGCCCCACGGATCGGCGGCACTGGCCAGAGGCCATTATCGTTATTACTACTATTAGTATTATGATTAGTAATGGTTGTTATTATTATTATTATGATTATTATTATTACGATTATGATTATTAGTATTAGTATTAGTATTAGTATTAGTATTAGTACTACTACTTTTACTATTATTATTATTAATATTATTATTATCATTATTAATATTATTATTATTAATAAGATTATTATTAGTATTACTATTATTAGTAGTACTATTATTAATACTACTACTACTACTACTACTACTACTACTACTACTACTACGACTACTACTACTATTACTACTACTACTACTACTACTACTACTACTACTACTACTACTACTACTACTACTACTACTACTATTATCAATATTATTCTTATTATTAATATTATTAATGATAATGATAATAATGATAATAATAATAATAATAGTAATAATTGTAATAGTAATAGTAATAGTAATAGTAATAGTAATAGTAATAGTAATAGTAATAGTAATAGTAATAGTAATAGTAATAGTAATAGTAATAGTAATAGGAATAGTAATACTAATAATAATCATCATCATCATCAGCATCATCATCATCATATTAATAATAATATAATTATTATTATTAATGATAATAATAATAGTAATAATAATAATCATAATACTATTAATAATAATCATAATAATAATACTAATAATAATGATAATACTAATACTAATAATACTTATAATAATAATGATAACAATAACAATAATAATGCGAATAATAATAATATTATTATTATTTATCCTCCTCCTCCTCCTCTTCCTCCTCCTCCTCCTCCTCCCTCACCCCTCACCCTGTTCCGAGGGCCGCTGAGAACCAAGGCAACCGCATCACTTGTGCGGCCGGATCACCCACTAGGGGTCGACAGAGGGGACGAACACGTCCCCACCCCAGAGGGGGCTGCTCGTCACGAGGGAAAGACGTGCCCCCGCCCTGAACGGAGTGCTCGCCACGGTGGCAAAGGGCGCGCCAGCCCCCGAACGAAAAAGAGCTGTCCTTCATGACTGGGGGCGGCAAGTGGCAACCTCCCAAGCCCAAAGGCTGCTCGCCTCCCCGTGCTTCAGATTAGGGAGGCACCAGTTCGCAGGGCGGCGCGTCCCCCCATGGAGATGCTCGAAATCACGGGGGATGGAGACATGCACCCGCGGCCCTGCAACGAAGCCGCATCCCCACCTCCAATCGAGGATCGCACACACGCACACCTGGGAGAACACGGCACGACAAGCAAAGGCAACATGTAGATACGCGGGAATGCTGCACCACCACCACCCGACTGGGTGACTTCCAAGCGAGTCTTCTCGCAATGAGCACGGAGGAAATAGATAGCAGCCTGACTTCTGGGCGCTTCTTTGACCGCGATAGCGTTCTTCCCGGACGTGGCTTCGTCAAGTCGACCACCAGAGCCTGAACCTGAGACGCCCCTGCCTTTCTCGTGCGGGGCGGCTTCGTGTCTTCGGGAGCGCGAATCCCAGCATAATGTACGAGGGATCGTGGCCCTCGGAGCGCGGACCCAGCGTCCCTTCCGAGGGAAACTGACCCTCGGAGCGCGGACGCGGCGTAACTTACGAGGAGTCCCTGCGCATTCCTGAACCTGCCTTCGCATGGGGACACGCGGGACGCGATGGCGGCGGCCGAGACTCGGAGACCTGGGGCCTCCACCTCGAGCTTCACCCTCGCCTGCTCACGCCTGCTTGCAGGCACACGGCAGCACGCAGCGACGCCCAAACAAACAGACATGCAGAGATAGGCGACGGCGCGCACGCATAGAAGCGCGAAGGAGAAAGGAAAACGGATGCGATGGCGATCAAACCACATGCATGCGATGAGAGGGCGACGTGGCAGGATAGCCTGCACGAGGACCGGGAGGACTGCTGCCCAGGGCAAAGCAGAAGACGACCCAGAACCTGTAAGAGAGAGAGATGGTCGGTCCAAAGAACCTGGATGTCCGTGCCCGCCCCCTGGAGGACGGAGCCCGCACCGACGGTCGAGATGCTCCCCAGACCCGTGCGCCCAGGTGGCTGCGCACGACGCAGCCAGACTCCGTGGAGAACGCGAGGCGTGACGGTGGGGAAGGCAGCCTGGGTTGACCCAGGTGCAAAAAACTGCGGCATCTTCCGCAGCAGATGAGGAGGTGTACGGGTGAGGAGGACCAGGAGGGACCATAAGTGAAGGCTGGAAGAGGGACCATAAGTATATGTGTATATAACATCTATGGGCATATAGTATATACATACGTGTGTTGATATCTATCTATATATGTGTGTATACATTTATATGTGCCGTCGCGCCGCTTGTTGTCGACGCGCCCAAGTGGACGACGCCGGCACCACGGCAAGCCCGCGGCGAGCCCTCCGTCCCGCACCCCAGGTACACGAGGCCGAAGGCGTCCGAGGCGGCGTTTGCCCTGGTGGCCGCGGCTCCCTCCCCAAGGCGCAAGGCCGCGCGTCGGAACAAACCGCGCGCCGACAGATGCGTATACATCTATATATATATATATATATACATACATACATACATACATACATACATATATAAATATCTATAAGCAAAACATAGTTGTTCTTTGTATATGTATCTATATATTTATCTATCTATATATATATATATATATACAGAGGTGGGGCATTGGATAAGGAACCCTTAGATGAGGAATCCAGGGTCTGGAGGCCGGTGGGACTCCAATCGAGGCTGGGCCATGGATGTCACCGCCGCCCTCCTCAGACAAGGAATCCTCCGGGGCCTGGAGCATCCGGGGCGCAGTCCTTCACCAACGCCCCCACCGCCTGTGTAGAGATCGAAAACAAAACAAAAACAAAAACAAAAACAAACAAACAAACAAACAAACAAAACCAAGGAGGCGGCCGGCTCCTCCAGCAGCGCCACGCGCTCGCGCTCCAGCGCCAGGCACGCGGCCACGCAGGGGAGCCCCCGCCGCCCCGCGTGCGCGGCGAGCTCCGCGGCGGCGCCGCTGCCGCCCGCGGCCTCCGCCTCCGGCACGTCCGCGACCAGGAGGAGGGGCCTCGGACTCCCCGCGGACCCAGAGATCCAACGCACTGGAAAAATCGAGACGGAGGGGTGTCGCAAATTTCGGCCCCTGGGGGCCCTCGCCGGGCCTCGGGGCCGTCAAAAGACGACCCAGGAAGAAAAACCCGTCCTGGGGGATGGGTCGAGACTTCTGGGGACCCCGAATTGAGAAAAAAAACACGACATGGGATCCCGGCGGAGTGTGCTCTGCTGGGGGGCAACGACGGGGGGGGGGCTGGCATAGGGCTGGAATCGGCGACACATCGCCGACAGATCGGCGACAGGCTCCCGGTAGTAAATCCGCACCTTCCTGGGCGGGTTGGGGCTATCAGACCCCTCTCGGTGATCAATGGGCGAGTGGGGGCCGATGCACCCCCCCCCCACTATGCCTATCCCCCCCGTATGATTGCCCCTGATCTGCCCGGGCCACGTACGGTCAACCCGTTTCATGAGGATGCACGAGAAGAACCCCGACAGGATCGCGTCGTCAAAAAAAATCGGGAGGCACGTCTTTCGCTATCTTCGGCCCCTGGGGGCCCTCGCCGGGCCCCGGGACCGTCAAAAAACGACTCAGGATGAAAAACCGGCCCCGGTGAAAGGGTCTGGACTTCCGGGGACGCCGTCCTGAAAAAATCAAGACGTCGCATGTCTGGATAAGGATGCGCGATAAGGCTGCAAGGGCCTTGGAAGCCCCTTTCCAAGCTTTTCGAGCGTGGCGCGGCCGACGAAAGTGGCCGAGGGTGGACCGAGGAGGCAAGGATGCAAGGGTACCCTTGGGAAAATTGCCCATCCTTACTGTGCGAGTTGACTGTACGGCCGAAAATGAAATCAAGAAAATCAGAATTTTGGATACCTGGGCTATGTTTCGGGGAGTTTCTTCCGCTTGGACTTTTTGTTCACGCTGGAGGTGCGGGCGTTCTTGAGAAACTGGGCCAGCTTTCTGGCAAGCTGGTTCAGAAACGCTGGCCAAGCTTTTTCGGGAGGAGGCCTCTTAACCATCCGCTCGACCGCAAATTCGGCGGTGGACAAACCTCCCTTCAGTAAACCTCCTTTTAGTGAAAACGGCCTAGGACCGAAGCCGACGGACCTGGACCCGCAAAAATGACGGCCGCGACGCCCTCTCGCAAACCGAAAACGGCCAATTCGCTAATCGGGACAAACCTCCATTCAGTAAACCTCCCTTTTGTGAAAGCGGCCTGGGACCGAAACCGACGGACCTGGACCCTCAAAAATGACGGCCGCGACGCCCTCTCGCGAACCGAGAACGGCCAATTCGCTAATCGACGTGTCAGGGTAGGAGGTCTACCAACCTCCGATCGCTTGACTGCGCGCACCGCGGCCCGCGACGCGCGATCGTCTTCGCGTGCTCGCGCCTCCGCGCCGCCCCCCGGGAAGAGGGCAGCCGCTCTGGCCCAGACCGCGGCGCGCGGAGCGCGGGTGCCCTGGATCTGCCCGGACCCGGCGGCGCTTCTGCCCCTCGAGCTCGCCTCTCCCTGGGGGCCGCTTGCCCCTGGGGTTCGGTCGGGCGTGTCCCCCTCCAGGGGGACTTTGGACGAAAAACGAAAAAGAGTCCAAAAATATTCCCAAATAGTCAAAAAAATAAATGAAAAGTCGTCCCCAGACTATTCTTGCACTATCTTTGAACATCCCTCCTGTAGAGGGACACGCCCGACTTCACCCTGGGGTCCTCAAACGAGGATCTGGGGGCCACCGAGCCCCAAAAAAATGCCCCCCGGGGAGAAGGGCAGGGACACCTTGGACCCGCGGACGAGGCGGGGCTGGGGCCTCCAGGTGACGACCACGTTCAGCCAGCCCTTGGCGAGCTCCTCGAAGCGCGCGTCCAGCGCGGGGAAGGGCGCCCCGCCCGCCTCGGCGCCGCCCTCCAGCCCGGGGCGCGCCCCGCGGGCCGGCAGGCCAGCCCGCAGCCGTGCGCGCAGGGACTCGAGGCCTGGCGCGACCACGTCCCTGGCGAGGCTCTCCGCGTCCCTCTTGACCGCGGGGTCCTTCGAGCCCTTCAGCGCCTTTCTGCGAGACCCCGGCATCTCGGCTTCTCGTTCGAGCGGGGCGTGCTGCCGCCTTTGTTCGTGCCCCGGGACCCTCGCAGGGCGATCTGGCTCGAGACATGACACAGAATGATGGGGTCCAGAGCTCCGGGCGTGATTTTTACGATGCTGCAGTTGTTTCGCCACGTCGGATCTCGGGGTCAGAGGCCTCCTAAACGGCGATGCATCGGCGATGCATCTGCGAGGCGGAGCTTTACTCTGACCCCATCCACTCGGACCCCATCTAGGAAGCCTACAGTCGGACTTGGTTGGACAGGACACGCGAGAGGACACAAAACCCTTCCGAGGGCCACACTGCCGCAGGAATGTGGAAGGCATGGGTCGCGAGGCACAGGACACAAGAATACCCTTGATTTGGCAGGGTCAACCTACTCATCCGGGCCGACTTTATAGAGCCTTCCCCAGCTTCGCCAGGTCCAGCTCCGCCGCCGCGCCCGTGGCGCCCGCCTTGCACGTCTGCTGCTCCAGGGCCTCCAGGTCCGAAGCCACCAGCGCCCCCTCTGCGGCCTCCAGCCACGCGACCGGGCTGGCGCCGCCGCCCCCGGGGCACGGCACCTGGGGGAACCCAAAGATGCTCATACCCTTGTGGATGCCACGACAATGGACACCCTAACAGACCTATTATTGAATTTAACATGTGTTTGAAATGTCGGAAAAATGTTCTAAACATATTTTTGTTAGACATGTTCCTTACATGTTTAAAAACATGTTTAACGCATGCTTTAGACATCTGGAAAGTATTTGGCATCATGCTTCCTCTCCATTGATCGTCATCCACAACGCTCTTGCGTTCTGACAATGATTTCGAGACGAATCCATCGGTGGCGACGAGGGTTGGACAGCAGTGCCGGCACCTTCCCAGACATGCGATGTCCTGAGTTTTGCAAGTCGGGGCCCCCGGAAGTCCAGACCCGTCCCGCGGGGCCAGCTCTTCATCCCGAGTCGCTTGTTCGACGGCCCCAGGGCCCGCCGAGGGACCCCCGAGGCCGAAAAGGCGGCGCCGAAAGCCCCCCGCCCTGACTCTCCGAGAAGAGCGCGACCACGCCTGGGTACCTCTGGCCTCCCCCGAGCACCGCCAGCACCACGGCGGCGGACCCGCGCAGGAACGCCAGCAGCCGGCCCGAGAGCTCCGGCGGGCCCCCGGCGCCCAGGGCCCCGCCCACCGCGTGCGCCAGCTCGTCCTCGACGCCGCCCTCCGCCTCGGCCACCTCCACCGTGGCCTGCACCGGCCTCGTGCGCTCCAGCCGCGCCAGCGCCTCCAGCCTCGTAAGGCAGGAAGGAAGCGGGCCCCGGAGATCCAACGCACTGAAAAAGAAATCAGGACGGAGGTCTTTCGCAGTTTTCGGCCTCTTGAGGGCCCTCGCTGGGCCCTGGGACCGTCCAAAAACGACTCAGAATGAAAAACTCCGGTCCTGGGGAAGGGGTCGAGACTTCTGGGGATGGGGCTCTGAAAAAAAATCACGACGTCGGATCTCTGGGCCTGCGGGAAGCGGACCCTGGACCCCACGGCCCCTCGCGGCGTCAGACAAGGCGCGACGGACGGTGCGTGTCATTTTCGGCCCCCTGGGGGGCCCTCTGGGCCCCAAGACCGTCGAAAAACGACTCAGGATGAAGAACCAGTCCCGGGGGATGGGTCGAGACGCCTGAGGGTCGACGTTGGAGAAAAAATCATGACGTCGGGGATCTGGGACCCCAGGGCACTCCCCGAGGAACAGCTCCTCAGGGCGAGTCGCTTTCTGACAGTCCCGAGGCCCGTGGGGGGCCCTGGGAGCCCATACGCAATGAAAAACCTCAGGGCCCGCTTCTCTCAGGACCCCTTCCCAGACATGCGACGTCCTGATTTTTTCAAAACGGCGTCCCCGAAGTCCAGACCCTGTCCCCGGGGCCGGATTTTCATCCTGAGTCGTTTTTTGACGGTCCCGCGGCCTGGCGAGGGCCCCCCGAGGCCGAAATTGGCCAAAAACCTCCCGTCCTGATTTTTGTCAACGGCGCGATCATGTCTGGGTCAGGGCCCGTTTCTCTCAGGAATCCTTTTCTTCCAGGCCGCAGCCTCGCATCTGGGACCGGCACCGCGATGTGGCCAGCACCGTCCCTGCCCGCGCCGGGCAGGCTGCCCAGCGCGCTCGCGAGGCCCGGGGCCAGCACCTCAGACCCCCAGCGCTGTGATGTGTTCACGACCTGGACCCAACCCCAGAGGTCCCAAGACATGCGACGTCCTGATTTTTGCAGGACGGCGTCCCCGGAAGTCCAGACCCTTTCACCGGGGCCGGTTTTTCATCCTGAATCGCTTTTTGGCGGTCCCGAGGTCCAGCGAGGGCCCTCCCCGAGGCCGAAGATTGGCCAGAAGCCATCCCCGTCCTGATTTTTCAGCGACGCGATCATGGTCTGGGTCTGGAGCCCCCCGAGACCAGTTTCTCCTCCTGCGTCGCAGGCCTGGCGACGGCCCCCGAAGCCCCAAATTAACCAATCGAACACCATCCGTCGTGATCCCAGGTATGCGATGTCCTGATTTCTTGAGTGCGAGGCCCCTGGGAGCCCCGACCCCTTCCCAAGGACCAGTTGTTCCTCACCTTTGTTTGGTATGCCACACCCTCCCCACCCTAGCCAGAGTTTACCCCACTGGGCCACGCTCCGTACACACAACCACGCCCCCAGGAGGGAGTTTTGTAGACGGAACCCACGACCAGGACGACCCTCGCCCAGCCCCAAGGCTTCCTGGGTATGGCATACAGACTTCTCGGGCGGAGCTGTGCATCCCAGGTCGTTTTCGAAGGGTCCTATAAGCCGAAAACGGCCAAAATCCCCCCGTCGCGGCAGGGCCCGGCACCGCGGCGTGCAGCCCGCGGCTCTGCGGCGCCCGGCCGCCGCGGCTCTGCGGCGGCGGCGCTGCGGGGCACAGGCCCGCGCGGAGCCCGCGGCAGCGGGCCGCCGCGCGGCCCCCGCCGAAGGGCGCGCGCCAAGCGCAGAGTCTGCGGTGCATCGGCGCGCGCGCCCTCCGCGCGCGCGCGCGTGGGAGCTGCGCGATGCGCCCAGGCGGGCCTGCAGAGGGCGAGGTGTGCCCAGAGAGGCCTGGGGAACCCCTGGGAAGGCCCAGCTGGGTCCAGGGAAGACCTGGGAAACCTTTCGTGGGCCCAGGGAGGCTCAGGAACTCCTACAACCCTCGACAGCATGAGACTCGTAGTTGTTCAAGTAGCTGCGGCGTTGAAAACATGATTCTTATAATATATGTATACATATGTGTATACAGACATCCATAAACTACGGGTCAATCTGGAATGAAAAACTATACTGCACGCTCCTGAAGGAGGTATCTATTGTAAAATTATAATCGGGATGCGCGCGCGGCGAGACCGCCAACCAGGCGTTGCGAGTCGGTTCGCCCTCGCACACTCCGTGCGGCCAACCCTCGACAGAATTGACATCAAAAGTTGTTGACGCGCCCCTGCAAGATCGCCCCCTTTCGCGCCACTTCGACATACTAGGACGACCGACACTGGAGAGGGGGCGCCAACAAGCACTTCGCACGCAATGTCACCCATACCCAGAACAGCGAACATACGAAGAATTAGCACGCGCATTTTCGCGATTAGTTCTGCCGATCGTAGAGGCAGACCCGGGGAACACCCAGAAGGCCTGGGGCGGCGGCCACGGACGACGGCTGCGTCGCGTAGACGTGCTCTATTGTTTGTTGTTGTTTTTCTCTCTCTCTCTCTCTCCCTCTCTCTCTCTTTCTGTATCTCTCCCTCTCTCTCTCTCTCTCTCTTTCTGCCTCTTTCTTTGCTCACTCGCGGGCCGCTGGGGGCCCGCGACGAAGGGGGGTGTTCGGGCCAATTCGGGCCAGAGGATCGAAATAGAAGACCAGAGGGCAACGCGGCGCCTGCGCCGCTCCTCGGCCACAGCCCGGCTCCGATGCACGAGGGGGGAGGAGCGGAGGACCCAGGCCCCCTCCGATCATGAACCAATCACGATTGGCTTTTCTTCAATTTTTCATCACTGTCACCTTCCAGGAGCCCTCGCCTGGCCTCGAGACCGTCAGAGCACGGCTCGGGATGAAAGGCCAGTCTCCAGGCAGGGGCCCAGACCTCTGCGAGCGATCAGTTCCCCGCCGCGGCCCATCTCCGATCTTGAGCCAAACCGGCAGCAGGGCCGCGCATTCAAGCAGCCCTCCTGCCTCAGACCTGCACACCCGGCGGCAGGCCCATCACATACAGGGCGGCCTCATCGGCCGCGCTTCCGGCATCTCGAAAAAAGAGACACAGCACTCTGCTGCGCCCAAAGAAGCAGGCGCAAGCCTCTCATAGATACTATGGACATCCCCCTCAGTAATCACCGCGATGCCGCAGTAGCGGAACGCGGCGACCCGCGACACCCTTCACCCCCAAGCGCAGCTCGCAGCGCAAGATGGCTCCGACATCCACGAGTCTCGAACCCCAGGGTTTCCACGAACCTCGCGAACCGCGCAGCCCCGACATGCTTCGTTCCCACGCCCGCCACACTGGCTTCGTAATCGACTTCACGGACTTGTGACGGCCCTTCCTGCACTACCTCTGCAGCCACAACAGATTGGCACGTTGATGTCGGGCTCGCCCATCTCCTCGTCGTTCCGCCGCGCATTCCCCAGCGGTAGCACCGCAACGCAGCACGACCTGCGCGCCCGAGAATCCACTATCAGACAGGGGGCGCCTCGAAGCGCAAGCCCATCAAACCCCTTTTTTCACACTAGCGTGGAACTGACTATCGCCTATGCCCCGCGCCTAGAGCTCTGCTGCGTCGCACTCGACAGACGCGCCCAATTGCCCCCCAAAGTTACCGCGGCACTTGATGTCGACTCGCGCGCGATCGCCCCCCCGGCGAAATCGCCATCGGCCCAGACCATCAGCACTGACGGCGACGGCCGCGTCGCGCCCGTCGCCGCCAGCCAGGGCACTCTCGCCAAATGCCGCCCCAAACGTTTGCCATCCTCCTTCAAAACGGGCACTGCATGGCTCGGGCAGCCCCCCGGCTCGCGCACTGGATGCGGGGTCGGTCCGGGCTCACATACAATAAGCGCACTGCAAGGACCGGCCCTGCGTTGTTGCGTCCTTTGGCTCCTCGCGTTGAGATTAGGTTCGACCTCATCATGAAGACCGTAGAACGGTCTCCAAATGTCTGGGGGTCGGGCTCGAACTGGATCCGTTCTGACTGGACCCCATCGCTCCGGCGCCACCTGGCGATGCGATTGAGCACCAGGATCTCGTCGAGGTCTCCGCTCCACGGCTCAGGCCCAAGCATTCCTCGCACCTCAACGATCAGCTTCTTGCCAGGCTCCCTCGCGAACTCTCCGGACTCCCTGCGGTCTCCCAGCGCAACGAAATCGTCGCCATGTCGCCGCGCGACCTAGCGGCGCCCTTCCGGTAGACGGCGGGGCCGAACTCCCCCCGCGCTGCTCCGAGGCCCGTCATGGCCCATGACCCGCTCCACCTTCATGCCGAAAGCGGCCCTGGCATCCTCGAGCAGGCGCATTGCCTTCTTGAGAAGCCAGCACAACCCAGGCTCGCACTTCACGTCCTCCTGCGGCGCATCCAAGAACACCTCCCGACTCAGCTCCGCGCGCAGGCGCGCCGAGATGATGTCCATGAACAACAGCGCCCCGCTCGATCAACTGTTCGTCGCCAGGCAGAGCAGCAGCATGATATCTCCCAGCGGCGGCCCCGCCACGGACGCAGCAGAAGCGTCGCCCAGCCCCATGGCGGAGAGCCTCTCCCTCTCCATAGAGACCAGCCAGCACATGATCTCCAACCAGTCCGAGTCGCCCTTGTTCGCGCCTACCCAGCCGCCTGGCAACGGCTGCTTGCCCGATCCTGGTCAACAAAGTCCAGGAAGATGCCCCCCAGCCACTTGCTTGTCAGCTTCGGCGCCATCTTGCCAGTCAGAAGGTAGAAAATCCGCCCCCCGAACGCCGGCAGGAACTTCACGAGCTCGCAGGGCGCCCCCCCCACGGCGTCGGCCTGGCCCCTGGCGCATAGCGCACCGGCATGCATTGCCATCCACGGCATGCCTGGCCTGGGCGCGCAGGCGCGATCACCACGCCGCGGAACTCCTCGGCGGCGCGCCTGGACGCCCGAACGAGACCCTGCAGTCCCGAGTCGCTCCCTCGGCCAATCCGTTCGATTGGCTCTCGCCCGCCAAGGGTTCCTCGAACCCCGCCAGACCCCATGTCGTTCTCGGAACCCCTCCAAACCAGGATAGGGGGGCTGCCCACCGCGTCTGGGCCCAGGCTCTCCCCCTCCGTCGTTCGCAAGAAGCCGCAGTCGATCGCCGGCAGTGGGATCGAGCCCACCTCGCGGGAGCGCACTTGACGCGGCTCGACGCGGCCAGGCCCCGCCACGCAGCGCCTGCACCAAGCTCCGGGCGGCGCGCGACTCACCGCGCGGTCGGGCCGCTCATGCTCAGTCGGCCCGTTCGGCGCCCTCCTCGCCCTTGCCCTCGGCGTAGCCGTCGCGCCCTCCAGCGGCTCGGATGGGGACGGGGCCTCGGCGCCCCCCGCAACTCCACCAGCTACACCAGCAGCTCGTTCCTCGGCTGCTCGCGCAGCGAGCTCTCCATCATCTTGTCGGACCCGAACTCCGCGTTCGGGTCGACGGGGCACAGCTCTCCGAGCCTCGCGGCCTCGCGGCCAGCCAGCGGAAAGGCGCCGACGAACTCCCCGACGCGGGCAACCCTTCCACGGTCAACTCGAAGACGCCTTTCTTCCGCGTTAACTCGCACAGGTTACCCCGTGCTGAGATCCCTGCAGCAGGACCTCCCAAGCCCGACCATCTCGACCACGGACATCAGCGGCATTGACGCCGGCGCCACGCGACATTAGGTGCCCTTCGGGACATTGGCCCCCCGCTCGCGCTCGCAACCTAAACAGGCGCCGTGATCAGATGCCTGGCCAACGCCCGCCGATCTGCGGCACTCTCCCCCGCGGCTCATCTCGCTCTCCTCTACCTCGTAGTCCTGGCACTGGTCTGTGGGAATGGCTGTCGAGGGCGTTCCACTGTCGACTCCGAACGCGACGTTCGCGCTCGCCTCGATCGATGCCAGCACTCTAACTCGAGCCACGGCATCTGGATCAAGGCGACGCTCGGCCAGATGCCCGACCACCTAAATCATTTCCTCGGTCGCAACCTCCCTCGAGAGCGACGCCGGGAACAGACCTCGCAGTGGCTTTCCAGACTCTAACT